CCATGTCATGATGATCTGTATTAAAAAATATAATTCTGACACTTCTTGTCTGAATAAACATTGACGTTAACCAATACACACTGAAAGCAGCTCGCCAGCTTTGAGCTATATAATTAAAACAGGAAACGAATATAACTATGTGCCCTGCTTCATTAGGTAATGCTCTGCTGCGTCGTTTGGTGCGCATTGGTGTCTTGGACGAGTCGCGCATGAAGCTCGATTACGTGCTTGGCCTGAAGATTGAGGACTTCTTGGAGCGTCGTCTGCAAACCCAAGTGTTCAAGCTTGGATTGGCCAAGTCCATCCATCATGCACGTGTGTTGATCCGTCAGCGTCACATTCGGTAATTATCTCATGGACAGCGGCGGAAAACGTCGCCAGGCATAAAATAGCTACATAAAAAATAAATGTTCAGTAAGACCACTTGGGAGTCGAACAAGCCGACATGAGCTTGCACCGGCTCTCAACGTCTTTTGGTCATGTAGTTGAACCTCAGTTGGTTCACTCAGATCATATTGCAAAGCTCCATAGCGTAAGTTGCACTGAACAAATTGCTCCAACTTGAAAGCCCTTGCGCTGTGTAAACCAACTTTCTGTATTAATATACCATATATTTTATTGTTTACATTCATATAGTGTGCGCAAGCAGGTGGTTAACATCCCATCGTTCGTGGTGCGCCTGGATTCGCAGAAGCACATTGACTTCTCTCTGAAGTCGCCCTTCGGTGGTGGCCGTCCCGGTCGCGTTAAGAGGAAGAACCTGAAGAAGAACCAGGGTGGTGGCGGTGCTGCTGCCGAGGAAGAGGAGGACTAAACTGCAGTAAAGCTGCTGCGAAACGCAGTTATTTTATAATGAAAGAATTTGAAATATTTACAAATTAAATGTAAAGTCCTTATACAAAAAATTGTTGGTTTTCTATTCGATAGTCATTCAGAATTTTGGCGTTGCCAGACTGGTAAACATTTATTAAAGTATATAGTGCACGTTTAATAATTGCAATTTGATGCATTTGCGCAGCGCGTTAGTGCGCATTATATTTATTTTCTTAGTTTTTTTTTGTAATATATAATGGTTTTAAGCAATTGTTGCATTCTTATATATGTAAAGCCAGTGTCGATTCTCTTGCGCACTTGTGACGTCACTTTATTTCTTGCCTTGCCACCTGCGCTAAACATTACCATCATTCTCTTGATACCATGCGCCGGCAGTCTCTGAGCGGCGTTTGGCGAGTGCAGCTGTGTTTTGGTTTTCGTTTTGAATAGTTGGCATTCAAAATTGTGTCACATTTGTTATTAGAAATAAAATAATTCAAATTAAAAAGCACACAGCCAGCAATTATGCCAAAAGGTGTGGATAAAGTCAAAGTGAACGTAAAGGAACGGATTGAGGGTGAAAGCTGTGATCTCAGCCTCTCCGAGCTGACCGAAATACCAGTGCGTGAAATTGTAAGTAAATTATGTGCGGGCGCCATTAATTACAAGAATATCAACGTGTATAGGTAATTATCTTTTGCGCTGGGTCATATCTGACCCTTCTGATTCGCTTACCACCACACAAGTGCAAACAAAGCGCTGTCTTGTCTGGCGTAAGTCTAGCCAGTTATTGGTTTTCTCGCTCGCGCAAACAGTTGGCTACAGTCATTGTTGTTGTTGTTGCCTGCCTGCTGCCGGCTGGCTTGCAATTAACGCTGACGTTGACTGCATTGCATTTACACTTGAGAGCGCCGCAAGATGTGTGGTTGTATGCTATTATGTGAGCGTGTGTGTGTATGAGTATGTGTATGCGTGCAACCAAAATTGCTTCAGGGGGTTGATTTTTGTGATTTGGCAGCGCAGCTACCACCCCTCGGTCAGTGGCACGGGAAAGTTGCCAAATATTGTATTTTACAGTTGTTTCGGGGGTTTCTTTTTGGTTGTTGAACTTCCTGTTAAAAATTCAACTCACATTCAGTTTATATTTTACCTTCACAGGCTTCGTTCAAGCGAGTTATCTTTCTGGACCTCTCCAGCAATCGACTGGTCACACTCGGCGTACGTTAGATATCATATGTAAATTATTTTATTTGTATTAAAAATAAGCTTATTTTCCCATAGCGCAACTTCACGACGCTCACTAGGCTAATTCAGCTCGATCTAAGCAAGAATCAAATCCGAGTTCTGCCCGATGACTTTGGCCAACTGGAGCAATTGCGTCATTTGGACTTGTACGACAATTGCTTGGAGCACTTACCTTTGAGTTTTGGACGTTTGCGTCGCTTGCGCTATTTAGACTTAAAGGGCAATCCCTTGACGCCCGCCTGGGAGAAAATTGTGGGCCGCTGTTCAACGCTGAAGGACTGCCAACAGGCGGCCAAGAATACTGTAAGACAAGTGGCACTTGAGTCGAGTGCCTTTTCATGTACAATTTGCTCACATTTTGCAGGTCAACGTTTGTGCCAACTACAAGTCGGAATTCATTGAACGTGAACGTATAGCAGCCCAGGAGCGTAATTTGAGTTCAGCACAAATGGCAGGCGCTGGCGATGGCGATGGCGATGGCAGCTCTAGCTCGAATCATAGCACAAAGACCAATGGCGGCGAGGCCTCTAAGAAGTCCAACAAAGCAAACAAGAAATCAAAATCGAAGAAATCGGGAGCTGCTGCTGAAAACGAGCTCTCAATCAAACCTGTGCATTCGGGCCCCATCAAATCTACCAATCAAAAGAACAATCAAAAAAAGAAGTCAACAAATGGCAGCAGCTGGCTTACAGCCATATCAGGCGTTGCTTTCTCATCGCTGATGACCTTTTTGCTGCTCTTCATAATAAATGTGCTCATTATTTATTTGATTATGTTCAAGAACCCGGACATCGCCGATAAGCTAGTTGAGTACATACCTCATCAATATCGCGATTGGATACTGACCAAGACGGAAATCTTTCGACTGCGCGTCACCGATTGGATCTCGGAGTTTCGCACCCCACCGGAGGAGCACTGACGATTCATTTATTTGAAGCCATAAAGCGCGGGGCTTCAAATAGAATAACAATAATTTAATATCGGATGCATAGCGCGTGTGTGAAAGCGATTGAAAAATTTTAACAAGTGTAGACCACCTCAACAAATTAGACGAGTGCGATTTTGAAACTCCCCAATGTACTGCCATATATTTATGTATAATTAAGTATATACGTCCATTGGCAAGAAATTTTTACCTCACATAGGCACAGAAACAGGCACACACACAAACACACACACACACACACAGCATCAGAACTATAATATAAATGCAATGCAAACTACTCTCAGTCAATCTCATTTTTAACTAACGTTACAATAGATCAAAAACAAACTCAATAGTAACTGAAACACAGTTCAAAACTGGCAAACACATAGAAACTACAGACACAGTCAACGTGCTTCACACGGCCATAACACTTATCTATCATACATACATATGTACCAGACTCATAATATCTATGCAAATGCAATTGCATTATGTAAGAATTTCTTGTGCAATTTATATTTTGTTTGAAACCCAGCTCAAGTAAAAGTCAGAGTAAGAGTTGTTGGAATTTATGATTTTATGCTGACAGATTTGAAATCTAATGTATAATGTATGTTTTTTTTTCAATGAATGAATGAATGCCGGTTTTCGTTTTACTCTGTAAATGGAGACAAAAGTGGTTTCATATAATTTTTATGCATACCAAATTTTAAATTGTATATTGTATGAAAAATATAACAAATGTATACAAAAAGATTTGCTGATTTTTGGAATAAAGTTTTTACATTTTAATGAACCTAATGAACCCAATTAAAAAAATGGTTATTAGGCATTGCATATTTGCAGAAAATTTTTATTAGCAGCTATCTAGTTTTTACTATTTTATTTATGTATACTTTATCAATTAATTCATTGCCATTCCTTTGAATTCACTTATTAACCAAACGAATGATAGATAATAACGAACAAATATTCTATATTTATACTAAGTTTAAATCAGTTTCTTATCAACTTTTTAATTGACTTTTTTGATGTGTGAACGTTATTTAAATGTACTGATAACTTCCATGATCAATTAAAAACGCCGAATTTATCTTTCGATGAAAGTTTTTACAATTGCTCGAAAACTAGTGAATCAACTTTCAATATTTTATATTATTAAGGATAAACAGATAGATGGTAAATGTTATATATAATAACGCATTTTCGATGCTTAATATCCTTTCGGCTAGGTTGCTCCCACAAAAATAGGCTAATTACTTATTTAATAGCCCTCTGTTGGTTCTCATATTCCTTTTTCAAGCCCTCTGCACACGACTCTATCACGTGTATCGACAATTTTTGTTTGAAGACCACTTAAAGCTAGTTTGACAATGGGTTTTCCCATATCGTACTTAATTAATAATGATCAGCAAAAAATTCTGTGCATATATATGTATACATATATACTGTGCACTTACGCACATACATACATACATTATGCGAATTTCACCATATCTAATTGTTTGTTTTGTTTATCAATAGAAATCCCTAGAATGATGACGTACAAGTTGTGAAAGGTGAAAAATTATAATGTCACTGCAATAATTTGTGAGTCGACATGACGTTGCATTTTATAAGCTTAATACAGGTATTTATATGACTCAATGGTTTAACGCTTTCTATAATATTAGTTATTTTCAGGTGTTTGCACTTTACAATTTGGAGCCATGATTACGCTGACGCAATTTACTGCTCTCTTATCGTGTGCCTAAGAGGATGCCTAATAGCGTGTCGTGTTGCCGAGCTTCTATTTTAAAGTTTCATGTTTCCGTTGCGAGCAAAAACTTTAAAAGCATTTGCAACGGTTATGAAAGACCTGATCGAAATTTCGTCAGCCAAACGTCAAAGCATTTGCAGACCCTTGGCCTTTTCATTTTCTTCATCCTACGCTCTTTGACTCTAGCAAATAGGGTAGCCTTCAGCATATCCTACGCTTATCCTTTGTCTCTCTTCGTGGGAAATGCACTGTCACAAACTAAAGTAAGTATAATTTGATAATGGGCACGAAACGTGTTTTGCCACAGAGAATGAGAGCGCTCTCCCTTCTGCTCTGTATACTCACAGTCGCTTCTGCGCATTCAGCGTGCCGGCCGCTGTTTCGATGTGTGCCGTATTCAGCTGTTACTTTAACGGCAACTCTCAACATTTTGGCGCGCCCGCTCTGCGCTCTTTTATATAAAACGCTAAAAATGCGAGCGCAGCGTCAGTTGCTGTATGACTTTAGTGCCGCGTGGTCAACGTTTTGCAATCGGTGCTTTAAGTGTTGAGAATATTTAGAACGTGTGCATCGTTTAATATACGTTATATTCATGTATGGTTAAGTAGCATCAACGTTACAAAAACTGTTTTAAAATAGAACTTATCGTTGTGCCAATTTCAAAATCTGTGACCAGAGTTAAGAAAGTGCTAACCAACGTACACAGCGGTTAACGCAATAGTGGACAATGTAAGTACATACACACATGCACACATAATTACGTTCTCGTGTATGTTTGTATGTTCTACTCAAGAATTTTTGTGTATGCGAGCAGCATAAGAAAAAAATGTCAAGCACATGGCACAAATGGATGTCTAGAAATAGAAGGCGACTGACTGCATGGCAATAGTAAAGCGTAAAGCTGCTGCTCAAACGCACACATTATGCAGTCGTAAGGGAAAGCAATCGAAAAATGTCGTTAACATGCCCCAAATAAATATGTACAGTCTGAGAGAAAGCCATTAAAACTAATGGGCAAATGTCAAAACTACACAAGCATGCACTGACGAAAAGTCAAAATGGGCCAGAAATAAACCAAAATTGTATGACAAATTTGTTGGTTAATGCATTATTCAACGTGTTCAGAGGCCAGAACAACAAAAGCTTAGCGTCAATTATATTTCTACATTGTGTTGCACACGAAAATCTGTTGCATATTGTTATTAAGTATTTTTAAACCGCTTTAAGACCGCCAGATATATTCATACAAATTCTGACAGGCCAAAAGCAAAGTCCCTTCACAGTTGACACGCGTACGCAACGTAAGCGAAACGTGGTCGCTGGCTGCTCTGCTGACGTCGACGCTGAAGCTGACGCCTACGTGCCAGCGTTGCACCTGCTCTATAGTTCTCTCTTTGCATATTTCGTTGTGGCAGCGTTTTTGTTGTGCCCTTTGCACCGGCACTACTTCCGATTTTCATGTCTTTCAAATCACTTTCCATGAATGAAATCTTTATTATGGTCCTATCGCCGTAAACAAAAACAAAAACGCGCGCGCTTTCCTATACTTTTACTAATACTAATACTAAGACTAAACTAGGCAGTTTGAAGCGTTTTGTTGTTGTTTGTCTTATTTTGTGTAATAGTGCAATGGCTGAAGAATTCGATTTAAATTGCTGATTTGCCACGTTTTCTTAACAATAAATACGTAATTTACGGGTAATTGAGCGTGTTAAGGGGGAAAGTCGAGTCGAAGTTTTGCAAACAGTACGACGGACTCTAGTGTAGGGTATAACCAATGGTAATTTACGATAGCTAAACGCCCACGACAACGAAAACCATTAGGGCACACACACACATGGACACTTACTTGGCCCTCATTTAAGGAAAAAGACAAATTGTTAGCCTGGACATTGTAATGTATGACAAGCTCATTAAAGGGCGGCAACTAACAACAAAACTAATCCATTAAAATCGAATATTTGTGCTGAGAATTTATTAGGCGACCTTCGTTTCCTGACCGTGGGCCAAGCCAGCGCCTCATCCTTATCTGTTCCTACTTAGAAAGTACAAAAAGCACATGCATGCCTACACATGTATGTACATTAGTATGTATGTATGAATGTAGGAATGAACGTGTTTGCATAACACACAATTTTCAATGTCGCTTTGGTCTATTGATTTTTGTGCGGCGATAATTAACATACAAGAATTTTAGAAGCGGGCAAAGGCGAATTTAACTAAAGACGCAGTAAAACTGTGACGTCAGAGAGCGAAAAGGGCAAAAAGAAATGCGGGTCAGCGTCAATCGCTTTTGAGCGTGGGCCGCATTGGTTTTCATCTAGTTCAAAGAAGTTAGTGCTGGATCTATTTAAATTAAGCTGTATATACTATTGTTAGACGCCACGATTAAGGAATTGAATTGCGCTATGGAGATAGTAATTACGCCTTGGTACGATCCCGGCTAATCTACGGCCAACATGGGCGCTGTTTTAATATTATTTCTGTTATAGTTCCCACTGACGGTTGTTCTTTATGATGTGCTTTCTTGTTTGCTTGTCAATTTGCGCAAATTGTCCGCACACGCCCTTACACTTGACCATTTTCTTTGTGGCAAGGTAAAAGAGCTACCCATCTGCGACTGTTATTACCTCAAGACAAATTGATTTTTAGTTAGACATAACCAATTATCGTAACGACGGCACACCTCAGGTGCTATTTGCTTTGTTATCAACTGTTGGGGAGGTCAGCCAATAATTGCAACATCCCATAAACTTCTAAGAATTCGCTGATATACAAATTTTAAGACAGTGGAATTGTTTAAATTATTGTCCGTGAAAAAGTGAATATACAAGGTTTCTAGTTATGCGAATGTCCACTTTATTATCTCGATTGATAAAGAGAACACACGGCTCTTATCAGGAGTGTACTTCTCTGCTTATGCAATGACCCTACAAACACTCTAATTGTTTATTGCCTTTGAGCTACTGCATTTATCTACATATGTACATATATACAAAATGGTAATTGCCTAACAATATTTAGGGCCCAAGTTGTATGCCATATAAGTTCCTGGTGTCTATCTGAAGGCACGCAATGTACAAATGCTCTGGAAGTAAACCTCTAGTCATTAGCACGTGCCAACAATAATAATAATAATGATAATATATTTTTAATAATATAAGTGCTGCTTAAAATGATCTTTGCTAGACGTAGTTGATTTATTTGAGCAGCAGTTTTTGCCGATTGTAGCAGTTTCTACTGATACTATATAAAGCTGAGGAGCGGCTCATTAAATTTCCAGCGATTACTGGCATATTTTTCAATGACGTCAAATATAGTAACTTATGGAATGTTAATAAATAATGTCTAATTGATTACTGGTTATACGTTAATCTTAATTCGTTTAGTCTGATTGATTATTTTTAATCTACTTGCCTACAATGTTATTTTATTATTCATTTTGCTGAGCCATTTAAATGTAAACCTTCTATTGGAAACCCAATACTTTAATTGACAAGCCGCCCTGTAGTTCCTTTAAATTCATAAAAAAAAAACAAAAACATTTCTGCGTACACAAATGCAACATAAGCAGGTGAAAAAAGTTTTTGCTGATGAAATTTCTATAAAACTTTGCACGGCGCCGCATGATCTTGAAGCTAATTATAAACATAATTATTTGAAAGTAAATATAGATTGTATATTTTCTAAGAACCATCACATTATGTTGACTTCGATCTGATAAAAGGCACACGAATCGAAATTCCGGAAATTCTTTCTTGACGCATTAGTTTTCAAATTAATATCTTATCAAAGCAAATAAATATAATACAAACATTAGGGCAGATACAAGTTATTTTTTTACTTATCACAAATAAAAATATTTACCCAATGCGTTTAATTCAAATACAAGTCCTAATCTTCGTAGACGTCATCAGATGTGCTTAAACGTCAATTTAAATTCTAAATTGGGAACATGTGTTTTTTTATTTTGCTTAGGGGCCTGGCCGGGTGGCTCAGAGCGTAAACATGCTGGGAGAGTGGAGAGCGCTCTCCCAAAACAGGATGCTGCGCTGAATTGCTGAGAGCGACGTCAGCCAGATATGACGTCACATGTCGCCTTGGGGATAGGCGCAACAGTCGTCTTAAGGCGATAATCCCCATTCTCCCGCAAATCAGATTTGAACTATGGTGCACGCTGCAGTTAATATGCTTTTAATGCGATTGTTTATTTGCTAGTGGACAACAGATGTGCTTTGTGCTCTAAAAATGGGTCTATTCTAATGCGTTTTTACTTTTTCAACACATTATGCACGATTTTCGGTATTTTGCTTTGTATTCATTTGAATATTTTCAATAGAGTATGCTAAAATGCTTCTCTCTTTGTCAAAATTTCATTTTCAAGGTTGTCTTGTTTGGGATTTCGAAAAGAATTTGTTATTTTGGTTCTGTCTTGTGACCGATATATGCTTTGAATATAAGAATCAATGGGTTTTGAGATTTATCATCTTAATATATTGTTGACTAGACAGCTTGAGTTAAGTACATACATATTTATGTAAGAATGGGACTTTGTACTATATGGAATTTGGACTTTGGAGAAATAGAAATCTTTTAAAAGAATATTCCTTAAACTTACATTTCCTGCTGCAATCGAAACCCCGACAATATGTCACAGATACAATGTACACATCCAAAATGTGTTCGAATTTAATTAGGATGATGAAATTGTTTCTATTTTTGGCAGTTTTCATCATTTCGAACAATGAGAACAGTTTACTTAAAATTGTGGCGTGCCACAAGGGCATCATTTACAGTTATCTCTGAGTTGCTTTTTTTTTGGCTATGTCATGCTCGATTCTCTATCTCTCTCTGGTCTGTTCACGCAACAGAGTGTAGTGCTTTGGTGGATTTTGGCAGTGATATAAATCGATCAATTATTTAAAGGTTTTGCGAAACCAGTTCTCACCGGTTTGTGGGGCTAAAAAACAGACAACAGATGAGATATGGGGCGACCATTTGGTACCTCAACCGGCGAATAACACTAAATATATCCGATATCTAACAGCACTAACATAAAATAAAAAAATTACTAAACTGTGCCAATTTTATAGACTCGCAGTGGGTGAAGGCTCTTTCTTCTTATTGTTGTTGTTGTTTGTTGTTGTTGTTGTTCAATACACATGTGTACATACATATATGACTATTTGTATTTATATTGATGTTCTATGTGGTAAAAGACCCCACTAATAACTTAGCGGCTGCCGCCAACACAATTTATTTCATTCATACCGGCACGTTCCGGGCCCGACACGATACGATAATGGTTTCGATGTTACGACTATATCTTATCTTACTCGTGATTTATCAGTATACGTGATTTGTGACGTGGGGCTGTCTGTTTTCTTGCCTGTTCGTTCGAGACCATGTATAAAATTTGACTTTTATAGAGCTCTTAGCCGAGAGTTATAAATCTGGAAGCCGACAAAGTCATAATACTTATGAGCTCGAATAAAGATAAAGATTAAGTGTAAAATTGAAGTGTTATTAATTTTGACTAATCGAAATCAGTTTAAAGTTTGCTTTTGCTGATAAATGTTCATTCTTCATATTCGATTATATGAGTATTATTGATATACAATACTTGAAAGCCGCACGTTTAAAGTTCGGCTTAAATGAACTCGACCGCAACATCAAAGTTCATTCAACCTTGTCGAGAAATGTGCTGAAGTAAACAAAAATCAGAAATGGTAAACCCAATAAACCCAAAAAAAAAAAGCTGAACATTAAAAAGTGTCTGCGCGGCATCTGCGAATGCCAAATGAATAATCATGTAAATTGGCTAAGAAAGCACATTTATCACTGTCATACCTAGACTCGACTTTATATGATACTCCACATTTATGATACCCTATATATGATACTCTAGCTGCCTGTCATTTATTCTCACTTTTATTTAGTGACTACATATTAGGCAAGGCCAGCAAAGTGCTAATTGTTAGCTAACGACCAAAATATGACATACAAAGGCAAAGTACAAGCAACCATGCAACCACGAGGTTGCCTTATTGACGCATGTGACAATCTGCCCACCTGCCCCGCCTTTGATCCCAATGCTGTGACAATTTCACCGCTCGTGAATGTGAAATGTAACACATGTATGAGATGCCAAAAACAAAATTCAATTTTGGCTGGGATTTAACATACATATTAATAATAGATCAACGGCGGGTAAACAAGTCAACACTCGAATCTCATCCTCATCATGATGACAGGGCCAAAAGAACATTTTCGACAAACAAATTGAATGGGACAGCGTTGCGAAATGCTCGAGAGTTCATTGATAGCGCTCGGGGCTAAATATAGAACTCATTAGATGGAATTTAAGTGACATATAAAGAAATTAAGCGAATAACTTGTCATATTCCAAGCCAATTGTCGAGCCACAAATGAATTTACATGCAAATCTCAACAAAAAAAGAAAAGAATTTACAGAATAAATTTCAATAAATTAAATCAAATGCCGCTTACTCTGAAATTGAATGTGCGGCGCACGAATCAATTAAAAGGCAATTGAACGCATAAATGTGAACAAATTAAAGACAATATCCGACTGAAATTTGATTGAACATAATCAAACAAACGTCTGCTGATTCAATCAACCAAATTCTATTAATTCTTACACCCAACAGAGGCGCATTCCTACTGTAACTAATAAATGTTTCTCTTCTTTTATTTGCAGACCGTACACTGTGCGAAATTTGTTAAGAGTCGGCGCTGAAAAGTTAAAAAAACACACACACACATTCAAAATGGTTAACGTTATTGCAGTGCGTATTCAAATTGAAGAATTTTCCTTTCCATTTAATTGATGTGAATAACTTTTGATTGCAGGACGAGGGCAGCAAACATGCGCCACAGGAAATGGAACAATTCCTGCCCGGCGGGGGTATGAACAAGTAAGTACCGCCATGTCTATAAATAAGGCCGTGAACTAACTATGAACTATCTAATAAGTACATAAAAGAATTTCCTTTGCGTGCCCGTCAATTAAACGTTAGTTTAGTCACACAAATTGCCCAATGATGCCGCCAAATGTCACTTGACTCGCCAATTTACCAGGCGCCATTCTATATATATATATATATATATATATATATATATATTGTCGAGCTCAGCCGTGGTCCGATATTATGTATATATATTTATGGTTCATGACCGCAGATATTAACTAGCAAGCTGCCTGTAATTATAAGCAACAAATGTGTTTGCAAGTATAAACAGCTTAACCAGTTGAGAGTCGCACTTTTTAACACACTTATCATATAATATTACAGACCCACATATAATTAGAAGTGTAATCGTATAGCTTTGTTATTGCCATAAAATACGTAGCTTGAACCCTACGTAAAAGTATACCTACCTCATGGAATAATACGGAGTACAAAATGGGCCATATTTCTGTAAACATCTATTTTCTACACACATACGTAAATATATTTGCATTGGTACATATATGTTTTTACATAGAAACAGATAATCTTACACGTATTTGCCTCACACAAAAATATTTTGAAAACTCTTGACGTTGCATATTGTTGTTTTCATTTTGCAACGAGAGTTCAGCTAAACGCTGAATTATTTATTTTATTCCCAATGCAAATACAATTTTGCAGCCTGTCAAAGCAAATATTTAAATGACAATTGGAAGCGCAACCTCTAAAAAAAGTAAATAAATATAATTTCATACACGAGTCGAAATTATATAAACAAGCAAATGCATTTTTTGCCGACTTTTAAGATATACTATATTTTGCTTGCTGCAAACTTGGCTCAAATAAAAAACAGGAACTGAAACTAATTGTTTTCTAGAATTCTGAAATATAACGAAAACTTTGCAATTCGAACAGTCACGATCTGCTGATAACCTTTCGTTTTGTTAGGGAGCAAAACGTGGACTTTAAATGATAATAAACATTTTTATGAGAAACGATTTTATAAAAACAACTATAAATAATACATATGTATATATATATATATTTAATTATGGTTGCGGTTACTGGGTGCTACGTACCTCAAGTATATGCATACATATTTATGTGCGGTATATATGCATATAATTATGTGCTTATCAGGCGTATTCCACACATTGCCATTGTCCATAATCGGATTTGGAGGTTTTACAAGAAATAATTGTGTTTTTTTAAGTATAGCACATAATACATTCAAGGTGACTAGCAAAAATAAAGGAAATGTTTTCAGCTTAACAATTTCAAAATAGAAATAGCCTTTTTGTTTAACAATCTCTTAACTAAAAGCTTACAAAAATATCTTAAGATTTGTATCTTAAAATCAAACAAAACATTTATTTGTCGGACTCTTTTTAAGCATTCTTTTATGCACACATAGCAATATCTTATAAGCCTAAAAGTAGGCAATGGTAATTCTTGATATTTAGGCTTGGTAATTTTTTTGCTGTTGCAATTGATTTCTGCGGCTGATGCAATGAGATGGCAGCTTGGAATCAGGCTCGGTCCAACAACTGGCCAATCACAATTGGCTCGCGCATACAGACCAAATTCGGATTGTGCATTTTTGTTCGCTTGTGTTTTGCACCGCTTGTAAACATTAAATGAGACGTCGGCCAAACGACTATAATTGCAGATGCAGCAATTCGAAACCCAAAGAATTTCACTCACGGCTGCCACATACAACATATAAGAAAATGGTGCACTCGTTTATGGCATTTAGTTGTTGTTTGGGCCGTGAACAGTGTGCAGATCAGATCAGAGCATGGCCAAGAGCGACTTAGTACCCACTCACGTTGAGCTGAGGTGACATTCATAAGAACCAAACCTATTGGCAGTGCAAATTTGGCTAACGTATATTAATTAACGCATTTACAGATACAAGATCCAGCCACGGAAATCAGATGCCGAGCAGGCCTTGGCTAACAATGATTTTGATCCGTTTGCAATGCGCGACAATGAGCATCCCACTACGTAAGTCTGCTGCCCAAAAGAGGCCATATTAAATTTTCCTTTAATTTTTTATCAACTCTCTCCCTTATTGTTTCAGTGATAACGAAACTTTGACGCATTTGCTGAAGGCCTCTTTGGGCACTGGCATTCTGGGCATGCCGTTTGCCTTTATGTATTCGGGTCTTGTGATGGGCATCATTGCCACCATCTTTACTGCCTTTGTCTGCACGCACTGCAGTTACGTGCTGGTAGGTTCAAGACAAGCCAAATTTGCTTTTTGAACTTTGTACTTAATGGATTTTACCCAACTGCAGGTCAAATGCGGTCACAAGTTGTACTACAAGACACGTCGCACCAAGATGACGTTTGCGGAAATCGCTGAGGCTGCATTCCAGAAGGGTCCGAAAAGTTTGCGCGGCTTTGCGCCCGTGGCCAAATTCTCCATATTGTTTGGCCTGTTCCTCACATACTTTGGCACCTGCTCCGTTTATACGGTGATTGTGGCCAAGAACTTTGAGCAGGTGCTTGAGCACTGGTTTGATTGTGAAATCGAGTCGCGTGTGATAATTTGCATAATGCTCGTGCCATTGATCCTGATTGCCTGGGTGCCCAATCTGAAATACCTGGCGCCCGTTTCAATGGTGGCCAATGTTTTCATGGGTCTCGGTTTGGGTATTACGTTCTACTATCTGGTCCAGGATCTGCCGCCCATTCAGGAACGTGCGCTCTTCACCTTGTCTACACTGCCCGCATTCTTCTCCATAACCATTTTTGCCATGGAGGCAATTGGTGTGGTTATGCCGCTGGAGAACAACATGAAGACGCCAAAGAATTTCCTTGGCATTTGCGGTGTGCTCAGCCAGGGCATGTCGGGTGTTACCTTGATATATATGCTTCTGGGTTTCCTTGGCTATATGCGCTATGGCAATGCAACTGGCGAGAGCATCACCTTGAATCTGCCCATCGAGGAATGGCCCGCCCAGGCAGTGAAAATATTGATTGCTCTGGCCGTCTATTGTACATTTGGACTGCAGTTCTACGTGTGCCTGGAGATTGTCTGGGATGGCATCAAGGAAAAGTGCACTAAACGTCCCACATTCGTCAATTATGTGCTGCGGTAAGCTATCAATCGGTTAAAATCGGGTTCAAATAATACCTGTACTCATAATACTTGTTAATTCTCTTGTAGCACTGTTCTGGTAACCGCCGCTGTAGTGCTGGCCATCTCAGTGCCTACCATAGCACCATTTATGGGTCTTATTGGCGCCTTCTGCTTCTCCATACTCGGTCTGATCTTTCCGGTAAGTGTTGATCATTTAACTCTTAATAGTTTGCTTAACTGGAATCTTCCTTTTGTAGGTTATAATTGAGCTTGTCGTGCATTGGGATTCCGGCTTCGGTGCAGGCAAATGGATACTGTGGAAAAACATAATTATCATCTTGTGCGGCATTGGCGCCCTTGTCTTTGGCTCTCATTCGGCCATCAAGGACATCATGAAGGTTTATAGCACAACCACAGAAGCCCAATAAATGGTTTCCTTTGGCTTATCCAAACATATAAGGGAACTTGGAAATAATCTCCTGTGCATAACCGACAAAAACCATAATGCAAAAAGTGCTATACCAAGGGATATATATTTATTATACACACTATTTGTATACATTTGAGAAATATACTTTTTAGCATAGTCTGTAGCGCTACAGGAGCCAGCCGGGAGTAGCTCCTGTTTATTTCCTAGAGATCTAACTATTGTTAGATGTAAAACTGCGCCCACACTTTGTACATTTTTCGTTAAAGCGCATTACTAAACTAGTACCCTTAGGTTAACTATATTCGAGTGCCTAACCAAGTAGCACCCAGCACCAAACTGTCAGTTTTTGCACGTTTTAGTACACATGCAAATGCAGTTATATATATTTGTTGAGTACATTTTAGTACCAAAACTAAACAGTTAACTAGCTTAAACTCTGCTACTATATACTAGATGTAAATGATTCTGAAACACACACACACACACACACACCCACATACATTTTATTTTGATTTTGATCAAGGTAAAAAAGACTTTTAGAGCACTTTCTTTTCAAAAGAGTATTACGAAAAAACCAAAATTGCAATCATTTATTATTTTTGTTTGTTGCAAGCACTTGCAGCATATTTTTTTTAGCATGTTTAGTTGATAAGCAACAGGATTTGGTTCTAGGTTCCTAAAAGCTTTGCAAGCCATTCAAAAAAGTTTTTATTTTTGTATATACATTTTGCAGACTTTTCGGAGCCCAACCAAAAATAAAAAAAAATAGCCATATCGGCGATGAGTTACTCAAATTATATTTTTTTATACATACTTATGTAGTATCATTTTCTAAAAAAAAAAAAAGGAAAAACTGGAAAATTAGCGAAATATTCAATTATGCGATATTCTTAATGCACACTAAATTTTTGTTGCTTAACATTTGTATTTTTATTATAGAAAATTAAATAAAAACTATTGAATATTAAAAACACATACAAGTAAATAAATTAAAATAAAACAAACCAACAACACCAAAAGACACCGAAAAAAGAATCGAATTAAAAACAGTTTTTGCATTTAAACCTTTGTGCACTGAAAAGCAACGAAGCTGATTTAACTGTAAAGCGAAAAGTTAACTTTTATATTAAAGTCTTTAAAGTCGGTAGATCTGTCAATTGTTCAGCTAGATGAGATCGATATACATAGTTTTTATGCTATATATGAAAAGCTGTTGGAAATTATCTAGCTCTTTATATTGAAGACTATTTAAAATTGAAAATTGTCCATATTACGTATTGAAAAGAGCTAAGATTGATATAATTGTTTACTTTTTGAAAAGAGTTTAAACTTCAAACAAAACAAGCCCGGAAAATTGTCATAATAAAAATGTACTATAAAATAAACACTTGTTAAATTTAAGGCTTAAGCAATTAAGAATACTGAAGTCGGTTGTAAACGACTGGGCGATACCCTGTGCGTAGCTTAAATCCGGTTAAATACTGAATGCTTGCAATTTTGATAGTTCGATTACTTGACTATTAATTAATGAAATTAATACCCTTTATGACACGGCATACAGCTGCACGTGGCGCAAGGTATCCAAAATCGTGCGTTAATTGGACTGTGTTGTGATTCTCGAATTGATTTGCCGCAGTTGTCCCACACAATGTCTGATTGCAAATTTCATTTTGATACGGTCAAAGTAGTTGGCATTTCATGCAATTGAACCTGCCTATGGGCCAATTCAGGTAACCTCCGAGTCAATGCGCTTGCGACGCGCTCTTGAGGCCATTGCCGGCCCACTCAATCAATGGCGCTGGGTCTGGAGAGCGGATCGTGTTATTGGCTTGTCATATTTATGCGACAGTTGCGAAAGGCTTTGTTTATTGCCGTGCAGACGTGGGAATGTCTAGGTAATCCTTGACTCAAAGCTCGCAGCGCAAGCGTTTCTAATTTGTAACGGATTGCAGAAACCCTCCAGGAAACCCGCTGCCTCAACCAATTAGCGCATGACAAGCAGCAGCGAATTCGAGAGTTAACAATGGTCCCCGACCACAAGATGACTTGCTACCAACCAATTCAGTGCATACCACTAGCTGCCCACTACGCTCCACGACCATTTGTCTGGGGCCAGTTGTAGCTGTTGTGGCCAAGGTCGACGGCGATTCAAAATAATTAATCGCTTAATTGTCATCATCGTCGTCTCGTCAATGGGATGCTGTGCACGCTGATGTTGCATCTGGCTTTCATTCGATGGCGCCAAGGTCAGCTGGGGCAGCAATAGAAGCTCGCCAGAAGCTGCTCCGTTTTGTGGTTAAGGTTTCCGCTCGTGTAATTGGTAATGTAAAACCATTTTGGGCCATTGTGTAACTGCGATAATTACAATTGAGCTGACAAGAGCTGCTTTGTGTTTCGCATTTCAAATGTTTCGTCTTCGCTTGCGGCTCTGCGGCTTTGTAGGCCATTCTTATCGAGACCATCTGCATAGAAACTTTCACCCAACTTGGTATACTTTTAACGCGCATAAATACATTTGGTATGATTGTCTATGGCCTGTCATTTTTATATGACATGCAATTGGAATTTTAAGTGCAGCCGCTTGCGACTCTTTCAAGTGCTCGAATATGGCATTTGGTATACATAGTTATGAATACAGATCAAAACGTGTTTCGGAAAAGCCAACTTCTCAGACCACAAATCATTTCACTTTCACAAGCCTTTCAAGGTCCAAAAAAAAAAATATAAAAAAACTTTAAACAACCCCATGAAGCATCAATTTTCTAACAAAGCTTAATATGAAAACGAATGAAAAAAAAAATAATACCCTTCAGCAGCCAAGTGCCTGGCAAGAGCCTCACAAATTATACAAATACTTATTATAATAACAAAAACAATCAATAAATTTAAAAACATTATAGAAATTTGTTGACCGAAGCGCAATCAACAACAAAATACAAACAAGTGTACACAAAAACAAAAGCCCAGAAACAAAAGCATTCACTTTCAAAAGAAGGGAAAAAAAATAACAAAACGATTGACTACAAAATTGCCCAGTCCGAAAAAAAATGAAATAAAACTATTGTAATTATGCATAACAAAGATATTGGCAAGCCAAATATTGAAAGTTTCAAGTGAAGTAGCGCATCCAATCGACCCGAACGATTGAGTTCATCAACAACGCCAACTTGGCCAGTTTAACAACGAAGATTAATTAATTACTTTGCTCAAAATGTGTGTGTAGTGTTTTTTTTTTTGTTTTTTTTTTGGTTTAAACAAATGAAGCGCAAAATATTAAATGGCAACTAATTTGGCAGTCGAGCTTTAAAGTAAAAGCCATAGGAAATGTCTGTAGATCGCTCACCAAATTTGCAGCCGCCTTATACCCTGTAATTCAAATTGGCTATAAAGGGCGTTTGAATTACAGATTTCGAGATGTGATTCTAAGTTTTATATTTATATATATTAAAAACTTCAGCTCAGTTCATATTCTCACTCTAATTTACTATCTTATAGTTCACTCTCATTCTTCTGACTTACTTTTTTCTTCAGTAATTTATATATACATATATACTCAAGTCGGTTTCACTTCTACTCATAGATGACAAAATAATACTCTTGTAACTCAGACATGGGCAAGCGATATCTCCTGATTGTATATCCTATCATAATATCGAACATTTTTAAATTTAAAATCTTACAGTGTAGCATTAGGATGATCTTATGAAATTGAGATGCTGCTGTGAGTTCACATAACCTATAACTTAGCTCACACCATAGTCCAATAACTAGAACTTCGTAAGGGATATCTGGCCGTCTGACTATATAGCTCTTACTATTTTGTATTTTGGGCAATCTTCAGATTATGGCAGCAACAACATGATGATGATTGTCGTGCCAGGCAACCACGTGATGTTTGCAGCTTGCTGACTGCTGTTGTCGTCGTCGTCTTAGTCTTCGGCAGCAGCAGAGGCGACAGCAGAGGCAACAGCAGAGGGCACCTGGTGTTGGGCGCCCGCCACAGATCAGCGCGCTTTGTGCATTTGCATTCATTATGTTTGGCACCGTCGTCGCGATCACAACGCAGCAGTTGCTCCTCTCGCAGCTGGAAGATCGATTGTCAATCCGTTGGATTCTTAAGCTGATTTTTAGCTCGTCATTCGATTTCGGCAAGTGTTTGTGTGTGTGTATGAGTGTGTGTGTGTGTGTGTTGCAATTTTTGGCACATTGAAAAATATGTTTGAAATGTGGATTTGTGTACCGAACTGCTAACACTTGTTTGCTGAGAACTAGAGTTGTGCCAGGTCGATTGACTTGACCTTTAGCTGAAATTCTTTATAAATATTGTTTGTGAAAAAACTAATAATAAACAACTTAAAATGTCGTCAGCACATGTCTTGCATATAATTGTGCTGCTCAGTCTGAGCGCTGCTGTCTTTAGCGAAGAGTCGACATATGCGGAACGCAACCACAAGGTGGGTAGGTCACCGTATCATATCTAAGGCCATAAATAATCCATGCAAAAAAAAAAAACAAAACCAATTAAAGAAACGTCAAATCTATCGTGAGCAAGTGCTGCCACATGCGGGCGGCAAGATACCCGACACCGCCTTTGAGACGGATCGTCTGTTTTTGAACCGTCTGCAAAAGGAGGGCATCTCAGTGCCGGACGGCATTGTGCCCGAACAGCGGAATCCGCAGGTCATTATTAACGCTACTTAATTATATATTTTCAAAGCCAAAACTCAGCATTTAAATCTATTAATATCCAGGTCTATCAATACTATAACAAGCCCATGCGCACCGTTTATCATATTGCGCTCAGCTCTGATGGACGTTATACGCCGCGAGAAGGTCGCTACCACTACCGCCAGGTGCCCACCGTGGAGACCACCTATCTGTATCCCCAGGCCGTGGGTCGTCCGTATGTGTTGGTGCCGCCCAAGCATGCATTGCCCACCTACCGTCAACTGCAGCTGCATAATCCGTTGCTTAATCAAGTGAAATTCCAGCCCAAGAAAGGTGAGCCAAGTTTTTGGGCCTTTACGCCTGGCTGCACTTACATACATACACAACATTTATGTGCCTCTTGTGCAGTGCCCAATTTTCTGGAACTGGCCCCCACCGTGGGCAAGAGTCATGCATCCAGCTCATCCAAGGCGCAGTCTTATCAAAATGTGAATCTTCTGCATGGCCAGGCGCTGCCCGCCTTCAAGAAAAACGCCGGTGGAAGCAAGACCTATGTGGATAGCTATGGCAAAACTCACGTAAGCCCAACCATTCGACCATCATAATCCGATAATTTATGGGTATTTTCAACTCTTTTGTTGCAGCTCTTTAGTGAATTCGATGATTTGCTTAACAAACTCGATTTGAATCCAGCAGGACAAAAGTTGTATTAGTTTTTCTTTTAGTTAGAAGACCATATTTTTTAGATCTTAAGTTTAGTGGAATACAATTCAGACAGAACAAGAGAAGTCTCACTATTGAAAGAGTGACAAATGCCTGCATATCCAACAATTACGAGCCATACACCAGTTCGATTTTTAAAACAAAGTTGAAAACAATTTCCCTCTTTATAATTACAGCCAATCATACCATATTTAATAACTATTTCTTGTATACAATTAGTAATTTAAGTAACGCTGCAAATCAGCCGAAATTTGTTAAGCGTAAAGAAATATCTTGCTTGCAAAATAAACAGCAATATGTAATGCAATGTATGCTTTCCTGCAAGAGCTGCATCTAAATGCATTATACATATGCTTACACATGCATTAGATACTTTTGCTTATCATCATTTTACTTAAAGTTTCATTTACCCATTGCATTGGGTCTGTAGTAATTAGTTGGTGCGATACGTTTGTTAAATTGCCGAGCAAAAAAAGCTTAGAAAAGCAGCTTCCAAAAATCGAAAGTTGCCCAGCGCACGAGACCAACCACCGAGTGGCCAAATCCGAACCACGAACCGCTAAACCACGCTTACCGTCAGGCATCGTTAGCGGTACCCTTGAAAGCTTGCACGACGACGACGACGACGCCGCCGTCTCAAGTGGACGCCGCTTGGAAAAACTGCACTTCAGCTTCAGTGCGATTTTCAAACTGAACGCAGACGGTTTAGCCTATCCCAAACCTACGGCAAGTAAAACCTGATCCTAAAGCCTAAAAGATGTTGAAGGCGCAACTCACGACGCTGGCCACACTGCTGCTTCTTGCTGGCGCAGCGCTGGCTATTGAGGTGCAGGTAAGTCAGACCAGTTAATTAGTACAACAATTTGGCATGGTCCATCAGCAGCAGACATGATGAGCATAATTAGTTGGTGAAAATCAATCCAGGGAGAAGCGCAGTCTCCGCCCAATTGACTCGGAACGCGTGGCTCTGTCTTACGACGAGAGCGAATGCTCGACGTTCACTTTTGACCCAAAAATTGTAACATGCAATTGTAGCACATACTAACACGAACACACATGTACACACACACACAAACACACATGTTTAATTGTTTGCTAATAATGAGCGGGCGCCCCGACGGCTGCCACTTGGGGAGTCGGAGACTGCGGAACCGGTTACCGCATGGGGCTGGGGTTATGCAATTCGCAACATTTGATATGTTTACTTATGTTGCTGTAGAAATTTGGATATCTGTTTAACCCACCGCAACCAGAGCATCATGAAAGGCGCGAAGATAAACAGGATCTGAACAAAATACCCGGAGTGGCAGGCGTTGATTATCCGATCTACCACGAAGTTCCGCACACGCAATTCAGTTGCCACAATGTGCCTGCTGTTCCGGGCATGTATGCGAATGTGGAGACAGGTTGCCAGGCCTATCATGTGTGCCACGATGGTCGCGAGGGGCACCAGGGAGCTTCATTCCTTTGCACAAACGGAACCATATTCAATCAGAAGGAATTCGCCTGCGACTGGTGGTACAATGTGAAGTGTGAGGAGGCTATTAGCCTCTATCAGTAAGTAGCAGAAATCTTAAATATATAAATAATACGATAATGAAATGCAATCGAACACAGCTTAAACGCCGATCCTGAGCATAATCCCTATGTGCCCAAGAAAAAGCCTGAACTGGAACACGAAGCACACGCGCCACATGGCGGTGCTGGCTTTTTGATACATGCCTAAATCACATTACATTTCTTTCATCCACTATTTAAATTCTTTTAAAACTTTCTATTGAGGCAATAAACTTTATAAATTTTTTTGTTAATTTGTTAACGGTAGAGCAGTCGATCTTCTTCTTATTCGTTTTCATAATTTGTACAACCGCGCTTCGATAGGCCGACTTATCGCTGTGTAGATATTTTTATTATCGACTTTATGCTGATATCGATAGCCGGCACCCACCACTACAAAGAAAAAATTTGTCTGGCTGCGTTGATTATTTAAAATAAACAAATTCAAACATTAGATATATAGAATGGCTGCTGTACGCGATGCCAATGCTCCTGGCTACAATATTGCACGGGATCCAGCCTTGGTGAAGAATCGCATATTTATTGGAAACCTGCCAATTTGTACAAAAGAGGAGCTAGAGAGCATTTGTCATCCATACGGAAAAGTTTTGGGCTCGTTGGTGCAAAAGAATTTTGGCTTTGTTCAATTTGAAAGCGAGGAAATCGCAAACAAATGTGCGGGTGCCTTAAATAAATCCACGTTTAAGTCAAAGGCGCTAACTGTACGGAACGCCAGCATAAAACTGAAGCCGCTGAATGCAATTATCAAGAAGATCAACCCAAACGCACACAACCCAGGAGGTGTGCCGATGGCAGTTCAAGGCGGCATTGTTATGTCCGCCGCCGCCGCTGCTACCGTCGTGCCCATTAACGACTGCGAGATTATCGTGGTCAATCGCGAGAATACGTGAGTATTTATGTTGATCCGTGGGCGCAGCAGCTAACCCTAACGCCCATCCGCAGAAAATACGCAGAGTTCATTGAAGATCGACTGAGGAATAGTGGCATGCGCGTAGATGTGCTCTTTCCAAACGAGGATGTTATGTTGAGCCAAGTTCTAAGCAATATATCAGCACGAGGCTGTCTCTACGCAGTACTGGTGACTCCGCAGCACGAAGCTCTAAATAGCATTACAGTCAACATATTATATGGGGTGCCGGCCGAACATCGCAATATGCCATTGGATGATGCTATAACACTAATTGCCACTGACTTTCGATTGAAGAAGCAGCGTGACGCGGTAACCGCATCTCAACTGCACGCCAAGCAGAAAAGACATCCGGAAGCAATGCAGCAATTGATCGAAATGCTTGCCGACAATCATCCACTGACAGCTTTGCAGTATGAATGCATAATTAATTATCTGGAGGAGCAGCGGGAACAACAGCTCAAGCGGGAGTTGGGTGAAGCTAATGCTTTGGCCAAACTGCATACTCCCGATCCAGAAATGGAGCTGCAAAAGAAGATTCTTAGTGTTATGAACAAGCCCGCGGTGACGGAGATCAACAGCGAGCTTATGTATCCCACATTTGAGTTGGCTAAAAGGGATAAACGACTTATGGAGCTGCTGCAAGATCCAAGGGTTATGAACGCGCTGGACAGCATTTACAACTCGGACCTCATAGAAACAGTCACGCAATATTTATAGATCGGAACACTTTATTAATAATAATCAGAGAAAAGCAATAACAAATAAACCTAAGGCCAGGATCGCTTTGCCTCATGTCCCTCATATTTGCGCCTATATTTTAGACCTGTTACCAGAGTAGAGCTCTTTGGAAAAGCAGTTTTGCCATTGAATTTAGTATCGGTGTCCGGATGAAAGCGCAAATATTCATACTGTATGTGCAAGTTCTCTGGCAAATCAATGCGCTTCAGTGCATCCAGCGGCACTGTGGTGTCGACCGTCGTCTCATAGAATGCGATCACATCGCCAACAGTGGCTATCTCGTGCACTTGGGAGTTGGGCACACCATGCTGTAGTTCTTGAAAGCACGCCGCCAGAAACTTGAACTTTTCTCCCATATCCTTCAATTGACGCTGGTCTCCACCGTTGGCCATCTGCAACCTGGCTGCAACGGCACGAATTTTGCCCGCTGCATCTGTGGAAGGTGCGTATGGCTTATGTGGACGCAAGAAACTGTAAGGTATTGGCTTATTACAACTATTACAATCATTAAAAAGCAATATTTACCCTTTGGCAGCAATCGATTCACCAACGGCAGCCAGTGTGTTTGTCTTTGTCTGCTTTGACGAAGCGTAGCATCTCTGCAGTTTGGCTACAAGCTATGAATGGGTGTTTGATTAATATTGAGTGCCTGTTAATTCTATTGAATTGAATATTACTCACATTTTGTGGCACAAGCATAAAACCTTTACGTAAATTCACCGCTGCCATTATTTTAGTGTTGTGAAAGATTAATATTTTAGTGCTGCCAGTCCTCATCAATGTATTTGTGTAGCCCTGGTAGATGTAAAAATGAGTTTATGTAATCGATAATGTCTTTATTCGATATCCCATTCAACACTTATAAGCTAATTAATATTGGGGATAATGCACTGAATATTTACATGCAAATCATCTGATTGCTACTTATTTGCATTCAATTAAATATATCGCCTTCCAAACGATGTCATTTTCTCAAGTATCGAGTTAATATTTTGGACATATTCGATATATCGATATTTTAGCCATCGCTATCTGTCACTGCTCGTCTCTTTCTTTTTCCGGTCGCCGAAATGGTACGACGCAAGAAATCATAAGCCTAAAAAATAATTTGTAAACATCTTAAATGATTGTGAAAAATATTCATTGTTGTTTGAAAAACATGACTTAACGCAGGCTAATTCAACAGTTGGTAATAATATTTACGTATTCTTGCAGGGTATTGATATCAACCACAAGTACGATCGCAAGGTTCGCAGAACCGAACCCAAATCTCAGGATGTATACCTGCGCTTGCTCGTCAAGGTAATTATATTAATTTTCATAGAATGTGCAGTGTAGCTAAAAGTTTTTTCATTTCACAGTTGTACCGTTTCCTGCAACGTCGTACAAACAAGAAGTTTAACCGCATCGTTCTGAAGCGTTTGTTTATGAGCAAAACCAATCGCCCACCAATGTCGCTGCAGCGCATTGCTCGCTTCTTCAAGGCAGCCAAGCAGCCTGAGTCGACTATTGTCGTTGTTGGCACCGTTACCGACGATGCCCGCCTGTTAGTGGTGCCCAAGCTGTCGCTGTGCGCCCTGCATGTCACCCAGACGGCTCGCGAGCGTATCCTGAAGGCCGGCGGTGAGGTCCTGACCTTCGATCAGTTGGCTCTGCGTTCGCCCACCGGCAAGAACACCCTTCTGCTCCAGGGCAGACGCACCGCTCGTACTGCCTGCAAGCACTTCGGTAAGGCTCCTGGTGTGCCCCACTCGCACACCCGCCCCTATGTGCGATCCAAGGGACGCAAGTTCGAGCGTGCTCGTGGTCGTCGCTCTAGCTGCGGTTACAAGAAGTAAACAACAGCAAGTGGAATTGGTAGACGTCGCTTTTTGGTTAATATATTGATTTGTCAATCGAGGGAAAAACGTTGCGCTCATTGTGGCAATAAAAAAGTTTTATTCCAAAAAGTGAAAAACAATTGATATGTACAATATGGATAATAATAATGTATTAGTCGCGCTAGTGCAAGTGTGTGCTCCAGTAATTGATAATAGGCTGATCTTGCGGCTGTACACCGAGCACCTTCTTCAGCTTGGCCTGTACGCTTCCGGACTTGGCATGATTCAGACAAATGACTTTGCTGTAATGAAAAAAAGACTTCAAAACGAGGCATACGGTTGGATATTTCTTGGACCTACTTTTTCCACTCTTCTATTAGCACCTTAGTCTGCTTGTTGAGCACCAGCTCGGTGAACGTCTTCTCCTCGACTGCTTGGACGGCTTTTAAAAGCTTGACCATGAGATCTGGAACTGGGAAAGAAAGGAATTAGTATACCCTGCAGTGTTCGACTCAAAATAGTTCTCTTACATTTGCGGGGCAGTTCGCCCGGCCACTTGACGGAGACGACGTCCGTGCCATTAACATGCTTGTCCAGAAAATCAATGCGAAACACCGAGCTGCTGGCTATTGGTACAGCAATTTCATTGGAAACCGATATAATCTTGTACTCGGAACTTATTGAGTGCTGATGCTGTGCATCAATACGCATCAGATTATGCATTGGCTCGGGCAGTAGTTTCTTCAGGCACACCATGAACCGAAACGTTCGCTCTGGCGCGCCACGCACTATAATCTTGACGCCAGTAAGGGCACAGTAGCAAACGGTGGCAAAATCCTCCTTGCGTACCACTTTCTTTATGTGACGCAGCGAGAAGAATTCATCCTGCTCGGGATCATCAATGCTCTCCTCATACATTTGTATCATTGGAAGGGTGGAGCTGTTGTATGTGAGACGCTGCGCCGGTGGTCGACCGCTGCTCTGAGGTGGTAGCCACGGCAGATTGCCAAAAGTAACGTGCTCGGTAAGGAAACGTGATCCGGCCAGCAGAATCCAGGCAAAGTGTGAGTGCAACTGTGCGAAGACATGCTCCTCTCCGGTCAGCTCTATCAGAGATCGTGGTGTCGGCATAAGGAACTGTGCGCCTGACAAACGTCTTTGTCTAGCCGAATAGTTAAGCTCCTCTGACGCCTTTGTGTTCTGTGCTCCTGCTTGCAGTTCTGTGGACACTTTCCTCAAATGCTCAGCCAGAAAGGGTTTGGTGTTCAGCAGAAAATACTTATCCTTCATTAAAACTATAATCGAGAAGAGCTGATAGTAGCCCCGGGCCTGCAAATCGCTGACACGAAATGTGTGACTAAGAATATGCCCGCGCGCCGAGTCGCCAAAGAAGACAAAGCCGCCGTCGCCGTCCTTGTTTGTGTTTATCTCGCAGCTGAGGCTCCGGACTGCTGCTTGCTTGACAAGATTTGCCACTTCCGGTAGGGCAGCCACTTTGGTGCTTACAAATGTCGCACCACTTTCTGTATCCTTGCTATATATGGCATTGTTGCTGTTACGCCCCAGTGTATAGTTGCAGGCGGAACATGTCTTTTGGCCCTGCTGTTGTTGCTGCTCCACATTAATAAGGTCCTCGATTTTTGTGTCGCGCAAAGTCTGTGTACAGAAGATAGCGCAGGGACCGTGGGCTTCGCAAAAGTGACATAGCGCAATTACAGCGTTCATCTATATATTGCTTCAAATTAGTTTTTGTTTACACAGGAATTCCGTTTATTTAGCAGGCACGAGCTTATTTATTTTCACTGTTTACAATGTGACCGCGTACAAAATTCTCCAATATGCCTCTTTGGAAACCAGTGCAAAACAATGTCAAATTATCGTAAAAACGCGATATCGACTTATCGATAAAATGTAAACAATTTTAATACGCGCTTCACAAAACTAGAAACGCTAGAATAAACCACTATACATGGAAGAACATTTCGTTATTATAAGTGAAATAGCAGATGAATGTGTTGAGCTCACAGATAAAATCGATCCGAACTTGCTGTTTTTTTACGGCAAAAAACAATGGCATATAAAAACATGCCTGACTGAAAATGCAAACGGTCTTGTAAGGATCATATGCAACTGTAAGTAGTTTACGCTAATCTAGGATTATTTTTGTAAAATAATAACCCTTAAATATTAAATAGATGAAAAGGCGCGCACCAAAAAACTTTGCTTCAAAGCAATTCAAGCGCAAAATGGATATTTTACACTGGTATTTCTTCAAAGGGAAGATGCCTCTGCCTACTCGGCGAATACACTCGACATGGAACTCGCTGCTGAGATATTGCCACTTCTGTTTAGCAATTACACACCCACTTTGGAGTTTGAGGTGGTAAAAGAACAACATCAGCGACAACGTGAGCTGAAGAGCTATGTGACAACGCAGCTTTACAATGCGTTGTACTGCAAGCATCAGGAGCAGCAACACGATGAGCCACTGCCTCTGTCCTTGCCGACTTATTTCAAGTCGCAGTTGAGAAAATATCAGCAACGTACCGTCAGCTGGATGCTGAGTCGTGAGCGCCTGCCAAGTGAATTTCCTGCCAACTACACTGTCTTGAAGGCCCTGAACAGCCAGTTTCAAGTGTTCAAGCATAAATACTGCCTGCAATTCTATGTCTACGAAAATGCAATGCCCACGATCTCAATGCCGCCAGGCGGCATACTGGCCGATGAGATGGGCTTGGGCAAAACAGTCGAGTTGCTAGCCACAATGTTGCTGAACCCCAGATTAAATGAGAACAACAAATACTGGAGCGAATTTTTGGAAAATGTGGAAGATAATGTGCCGCTCAAGCTAAGGCGTGCGGAACACAAAGTACATTGCATTTGCAAGCATTCAAAGCATCAAAGGGTGAAAGTGCAGTGTGTGCGTTGTCGACTGTGGCAGCACCAAATGTGTGTACTGGATGGCACCGATACTTATATGTGTCCAAACTGTTGGACAGAATCGACAGCAAACTGTTCAGAGCTAGTAGAATCGGGAGCTACCATCATTGTGTCACCAAATGCCATTAAGACACAATGGTTTCATGAAATCAGCAAGCATATAAATTCTTCTTTGAAGGTGTTGCTCTATGGAGGATTACATTCCGGGCTCTGGGTTAGCCCCATGCAACTGGCCCAGTATGACATTGTGCTGACTGACTACTCCATCCTTACGCACGAGATTCATTATACACCGAGAAACACAACGGATCGTGAGATGCGCTTTGAGCAGCGTTACATGCGCCCAAAATCTCCTCTGTTAATGGTTAACTGGTGGCGCGCCTGCCTGGACGAAGCCCAAATGGTTGAGAGCAGCACATCCCTGGTAGCGGAAATGGTTCGTGAGCTGCCTGCAATCAATCGCTGGGCAGTTACTGGCACACCAATACAGCGCACCATCGACGATCTGGCACCGTTATTGAAGTTTATTGGCTTTCAGGAGGCTTGTCAGCCTTGGGATGCCTGGCAAACAGTAACCAACTCCTTTTTGCTCAACCACAATGCTGCGCCGCTGCTGGAGCTTCTGCAGCATAGTATGTGGCGCACATGTAAATCAAAAGTGGAGGACGAGCTGGGTATACCGCCGCAAACAGAGCTCGTGCATCGTCTAGAGCTGAGCAACGTAGAGTCCTTGTATTACCGGGAGGAACATTATAAGTGCACTGAACTTTTTTTGACAGCCGTTGCGAAACACACAAAGTACAATGCCAACAACAGCAGCTCCTGCTTGGCTTCCATATCGCCAAAACTACTGAGGATTATATTACAGCCCTTTTTGCGCATACGTAAAACGTGCTCCGTTCCAGTTGTGCTAAACAACAATGTGGCCACCACAAACTATTTGAATCCACAGGATCTCTTAGCACATCTCAAATCAAATAACGAGTTGCAATGCAAGCGTGAACTGCGCACATGGGCCTCATCATACAATGGCATCGCAGCCATACATTTTATTCGCAAGCATTATGGACAGGCGATTCATAACTATAAGCTCGTGCTGAAGTTGGCCAAGGACTACAATGAGGAGAACATATCGTGAGTATAGCGAATTGTCTAATTGCCAATCGAATTTTATTGATAGCCTCATATTTACAGGGTGGACAGCTTACTCCAAATACATGCATTGCATAACTTGCTGGAGGCTTCCGCGTTGGCGCCAGAAGCGGAACGACTGACAGATCAGGAACTCTCCTCCTATCGCTTAAAGTTAAACACGCTGGAGCGCAAATATTTGGAGGACAAGTCAACAGTGCTGCAGGCAGCACGAAATGCCTATGAATTAAAGCTAAATGAAATGGATCAACTGTCGCAGCAATTCAATACAAACATTTTAGACCTATTCGCCACGTTGATCAATACAAGCGACTCACTGCACAATGCAATGTGGAACAAGATTGTCGATGAGTTTTTTAGACAAAACTGTTCTAACGAAAAGTTAAAGGATGTAAACTCCATGTCGGGCGTACTTTATTTAATACACAGCTGGCACGAACGCTGGAAGAAGCTGCATACTAAATTAGGCACTGAATTTAATTTTCTGAAGGACATCCTGGTCCAAGCATGTGAGGCAGTAGAAAAGGGAATTGCCTTAAATCAGGAAACGATTAACTTTATTAAAAATGTTTCCGATTGCCACTTGGCTGATATCTTAGTAAGTAGCTAAAACTTTTTATTTATAAATCATCCCACGTAATCGAAAAACCTTTTACAGGAGGACAAACCTACTAATAAGCCGATATCAACAGAAAAGCCAAAGATGCAAAAACATTGTCGTCTATGTAAGATTCGTGATATTGTCAATCAGTTCGAATGCCTGCTGTTTGCAAAGGAATTGGGCAAGGAGGGCACCATAACGGATGGCTCTGAGAATCCAAGCATCGAAATAATTATAATCAGAGGTTCCTAATGCCACAATTCTTTTCCATTCTTTTGTTACTAAAAATCCAATAATGTATTTGCAGTGATATTTTATTTTGTGCGCTCCAGACACGAGTTTAGCGAGTGGAAAGCGGAATGTAAAAATAAATTGGATTTTCTAGATGCTATGCAGAGCCTGGTTAAGCTGCAAATTAAGTATTGGATTGAAGTGGAATACGTAATAAAAACTTTTGATGAGCTGGACATGTGTAAAATGCGTATATTGCTCACTAATGACCCAGAGGAGCAATCCAACTTTCGCATATTGCCCTACCAGTTAGATGAACAAACAGAATTCAATTTATCAAACATTCGAGAATCGCAGATGAACTTTACGCGATTGTCGGGCCGTCTTAAGTATTTGAAGCACTTGAAGGAAGATGACGGTGACAAGCCCTGTCCCATTTGCCAAACACAGGATGATGAGCGCGTAATACCCTTAATTTTTAATCCGATATAAGATAATATTCAATGAAATCTGTTCGTAGTATGTAATGCTGTCATGTGGCCACTTTCTCTGCCAACATTGTCTGGACACCATGAAGAGGCAGTCAAGTCTTGGAAGCATAACAAAGTGTCCATTGTGTCGGCAAAATTCGCCACAGTAAGTTGTTACACTATCTAACCATATATTTTATTCTAAATACAATTATTTTTTTTACAGACTATATTATTCCGTGCGTAAAGGTATCAACAGTTCCAAAGTCATCGGCGACTTTTCCACAAAGATTACGTACATTGTCGAGTTGGTGCTGAAAATCAAATCCCAAAGTAAGGATAAAGAAAAAATTCTGATATTCTCGCAGTGGGCAACCATTTTAAATCATATTGCCAGCGCCTTGAGCCAAAATGGTGTCGAATATCGCAGCAAATTCACTACTCGGGATATTGATGAGTTTAAGGTTTGTATTTTGTGGGCACTCTAAAAAGCTAATTATTTATTTTATATTGTATGTTTTATTACCCGATAGGATCCCGACCGTAATGTTACATGTTTGTTGATGCCCCTGGCTCGGGGCTCCAAGGGGCTGAACTTAATCGAAGCTACCCATGTGTTTCTGGTAGAACCAATTCTGACGCCAGGCGAAGAACTGCAGGCTATTGGCCGTGTTCATCGTTTCGGTCAAACAAAGTGGGTGTCGTAATATAAACCTTTAAAACAGATATTTATATTTTTTTCTTTATCACAAAAGACCGACAACAGTGCATCGCTTCATTGTAAATGGTACAATCGAGGAAAATATATTGAAGCTTATTAAATCGGCTGACGATAAGTCCACATTATCAACACATTGGGACCTAGATAATATGACACTTGATAGCTTAAAGGATCTGTTTATACTAAAGGGAAGTGAGTAAAAACAGGTAATAGTAATAAAGTCTATAATATGTAAAAAGTGCATACTCAATATATATTTTGTAATTATATGTTGGTAGATTAAACTTTCACTATGTCTATGCTTAGATGTAAGCCTGCTTAAGCCTAGGCGTATTTATAAGGATTACAAAGTATTGCTTTTAAAAAGTTACAGTTTAACATATATTTGCAATTCTACAAATATTTCCTTGCACCCCACACATTGATAACATTTTCAAAATCTTATCAAACAATTCGCTCTCACACATGATCAATTTTAAGGTCATCCATGTTGGTGCCGTCGACGTTGGCCTTTTGCGCATAGTACCCGTCGTAGGAGCTTTGTGCCTTCTCGATTTCTTGCTGTTTTTGTAACTTTTGCAGCTGCTCGTAGGCGGCCTCTTGTATTTTGAGACGCTCCATTTCCGCCCGTCGCTTTACCTCGTTCTCTTCAAACTGTTGTGCCTGCAATTCAGCTGATGCTGCTGCACGCTCTGCGGCAGCCTCCTGGTA